TCAGGGTAATCTGAACGCGATTTTAACTTACCGTGGGGTAAGGTGAAGCAGGGGTAATCTGCTACACCGGTTATAAGTTCGTGAACAACCCGTTGATCCACTGCGAGACACACGTACGTGGACAATGAATAGTATTAATAAAGATTGCTGGTGTAAATATTATGAAGAACTTGTGATAAAAAATATGTTAACTCTGTCGGCCACAACTAAAATAATTTAAAATGATATATACGTGATGTAGAAATCCTAGTAATAATGTTATAAATCTAAACACCATAGCAAACTGACTAGTAATAATGTTATAAATGTTTAGATTTATAACATTATTACTAGTCAGTTTTCTAGTGTTTAGACCATAGCAAACTGACTAGTAATAATGTTATAAATCTAAACACCATAGCAAACTGACTAGTAATAATGTTATAAATCTAAACACCAGAAAACTGACTAGTAATAATGTTATAAACCTAAACACCATAGCAAACTGACTAGTAATAACGTTATAAATCTAAACACCATAGCAAACTGACTAGTAATAATGCCATAAATCTAAACACCAGAAAACTAGAACCTATAATGACCAAACTGAATTGAGTCTTCAGTTATAACTGTATTTGTTGCTACAGCCATGATCCCTTTATTCTAAACTTCATACGATCAACTTGATATTTTGTGAACTTAGAATACGTTTTGCGACAAACATTTACAAGATGGAGTAAATAAACGAGTGAACTTAGGGTTTAAAGTTTTGGATAGATGTTTGTAAATTAACTGGATATTTTGGGCAACGTTTAAAATCACCTAGTGTATTAGCGTATCCACACTTCAGCTTAGACATACATTTAAAAAATCAATCTGTTTTTATATTATAGAAGTCATAAGTTCACTGAGAAACCGATTCATTCAACTGGGTCTGATAAAAACAACAACAATATAACTGTGGACTTCTTAAATTATAGAAGACCTATAATCTGCCACATTAAACTGACATTGTTTAATTGACCCAACGGCTACAGAGAGTTGAAAAGTATACAGAAGAATCAATAGATATTGCCGCGCAAAGAATATATTAATATGTCGTATGGTTGCCAGCCACCAGGTCGAATAGAAATATACTGGCCAACCAATCGGATTAAAGTCGTAAATAGGGTTGAGGTGGAGGTTGTTTTATTGGGAACCATTATGAGAGATGAACGGATCTTTATTTATTTTTTAATGTGTGCATGCTAATACTTGAACTTCATCTGTTGATACATAAAAATGATTATCCATTGAGTTAGGGTTATAAGATTCGTAAATCTACTGTTAAAAGTTCCATATTGTTATATACTGAGGCATAGAAAATTGGTAGTTTGAAAATGATAAGTAAATATATCACATTAGAAAAGGAGAGCTCCAAAGTTTCTTATCGGTTTGGAGAGCTCCAAAGTTTCTTACCAGTTTGGAGAACTTCAAAGATTCTTATCAGTTTGTTCCTATTAGCCATCAACAAAGTTTCTTATCAGTTTGGAGAGCTCCAAAGTTTCTTATCAGTTTGGAGAACTTCAAACTTTCTTATTATTTTGTTCCTATTAGCCCTCAACAAAGTTTCTTATCAGTTTGGAGAGCTCCAAAGTTTCTTATCGGTTTGGAGAGCTCCAAAGTTTCTTATCGGTTTGTTCCTATTAGCCCTCAACAAAGTTTCTTATCAGTTTGGAGAGCTGCAAAGTTTCTTATCGGTTTGGAGAGCTCCAAAGTTTCTTATTAGTTTGTTCCTATTAGCCCTCAACAA